TTGCCGAAATACAAATGAGAAGAATGAAATGTTGACTGTCATCTGTAAACCCTGAATATGAATAGTTTATGTCAACACTAAGTGACAGAGACAAACAGAGATATCCCTGGGGTGCTGCTTGGTTGTTTTTATCATTTTTGTTCCATGACAACATGATTGCAAGGGGGAAAAAGGGACCAAATTAATTTACTCACTGCTAAAACTGAAGTAGTGTACAACGTAAATATGGGAAGTTGTGGTTGTACATGTATATTTTTGCATTGGCTTCCTCTTTATTGTCCAAGATTAAGTTAGCTTTTGAACTATTGTATTTACCCAGTGTTCAGTGCTGTTGAGGGTTAACAGCTGCAGCTCTGTAGTCCCACCTCTCCTCTTGTCAGTCAGAGACGGAGCCGGAGCTGAAGCACTGCAGAGAGCGCTGACTCTCGCTGAGAACTACACACCCACAAACAATCTAGAGACAGAGCCGGTGAAGGAACTTGTCGGGAACGGTCTGGAATCAAGCTATACGCTGGGAAATTTCCTGCCAGATCTCGCCATTTTGCCTCGGTCCTCATTTCTCACAGCAATCCATGGGACTCCAGACACGGCAACTCTCCGATCCGTCTCTCAGCTCCATGGCCTGCCTTGAAGTGGAGACCTTGAATGTCTGCAGGGGTAAATGCAAATAGTTTGAAATCTTTTTCAAATTCCATGTCAGCATGAATTAAAATGGGGAAGTTGATGCTAAACATGAGTGAAAGACACTGGGAAAACTGAGTGTAGCTCATGGCAGCTGGTAATTATCACTGGAACACATGTTGAGAAGATCTGGAGTGGATATAAATTGTTGTCATATCAAATGAGCTTAACAGCGTTAATAATCTCATGAAAAAGTGACTAAAGGTTTGGTTATGGTGAGGGGGGTTGTTGTTGTTTTTCAGCTGTCTGATGTTGGTTTCATTATATTTTTTTTGTATTGGCATCTAAGTTTTCATTCAAACTCACACCCAAACATTCAGTCAATCATTAAGCTGGCTAACTGTGCCTGTACAGAAGTTTATCTGCTTTTAATGCCTTGTGGGAGTAACCTCTTTACAGGTTTCTTAACAATAAGACTTTCAAATGCATGACGATATCTCTGCAGCCTTCACTGTTATTAATATATGGCTTCACTTGTGACCGTTTCAAGTGAGTTATTGGTCATTGGGATGGTTCCCATCAGTGAACCGTAAACCAAATTCTATATTAATTTATCAGATCTCAAACCTGAGCCAATATACAGTCATCTGTCGAGCTGCTGAAATATTTTTTACAACAGTAATGTCAACACAGCCCAGGTCAATGTCAGAGTGTTTTTTAAACCGCTTCATTTTAGTCAGACTCGGTAGCCATAACACAGCCCATTCATTTAATTTACGATAGTAACATCTGGTTGCGTTAAGGTGAGGTCAAATTGGCAAAATTTTGGGGGCAGAAAAGGTCCATTGTCTATAGTCTATGAAGCACAACTCGCACAGAAGTCACTTTCAAAATAAACAACGTTCCGTTGGTCAAAGCGGCAAATTTGATTAACTTGAACTTGAAACTTGTTGTGAAATTAGTGTGGGGAAACTTTTGATGTTTCGCATGGATTCCTATTGAAATGACTGGATTTTGCCCCCCAAAAATTGCCGAACAGTGATTGTGACATCAACTTTAGGCTTGGTTTTGGATTTAAATTGAATCTTGAGAGGGTTCTCGAAAAATTAGACATACAAGGATCTAAGCTGCCTTTTGTTTATTGTACAGATTGAGAGAGTGGCCTGGAGCCACGTAAAGGTCAGTCAGGGTTCAGCAGAGAACATCAGGAATGACATCATCTCAACAAATACTGGGATGACTGCAGGCATGTCATGTACCGGCATAATGACGTGAAGATGATTATGGTATTACGCTTCCATCAAGCTTCATTTGGAACATTATTTTGAAAAAGCCACTTGGTGGAGGCATGGATCTTGATTTGTAATGGATAACCACTTTAATACTGAAACCCACCAGAGAACCTTCTGGCACAGATAATAATGGAAAACATGATTCGGGACGGAGTGTTCCAAGCTTTTGGGGGGGGGTTAGAAGAGGCACTTGGTCCCCTCCTTCAGTCTGACCACTCTTTTTTCAGCAGCGATACAGAATGTATGTGTTCAACGTACCCCCCACAATGCCATTTCCAAACTCTTCTGTTTCCCAGGCCTTGTTCTCACAACGGCTGGGTTTATTTTAGCAGGGGTGAGTCAGACAGAGTGGTCGCTCTCCCGGGACCTCAGCAGAACTGGGTGTGCTAGGCCTCATTCTGCAGCCAATCAGATTAGCTCTGTGCTCCCAGTGCCGACGATGGGTGGAAGCAGGGGTCTGCTGGGCATGTTCCACGCTCCGCTGTCCCATTTGTCATGATCAACTGCCATCCTCCTCTTTAAATGTTTTGCAGAGGAGTGGTGTTATTCTCTTGAACCAACATGCCTACGCTTGTGTGTTTTGAAATGTATAAATCGAGCCGTGTAGTTGGATGGTGAAATGGCATTCAGGGTGTATGTAGTAGGCTGTGCATAACGACCCAAATTTTACCCCTTCGCTCAGGCCTTCACTGTCTTATTAATGTTCTTGGTTGTTAATGCACCAGTGCCTCCTCATCCAAAATGGTAACACCTTGCATCTCGCTTTTTAAGGGCAGCAAATCCAAAGCCAAGGCTTCAGATGACATCACCTTGAGAAGTTGATAGGACTATTGCAGTGTTTATTATTTTGTGCTTTGGACACCGTTCTGTTGTTGATCTCTCTTATAAACAGCATTCTGTTGTATGTTTGCTTTTGAGATCAAAACTGTTGAGATTTTGTACCGCTTATACTTAAGTACAAATCTTGGGTTGACCTTTAACCCCGAAACATTTTGAATGAAAGGGAAAATGTGGTGGATTAAAATGAAAATTAGGCTGTTTTACTCACCCCCGAGGCACCCTAGGTGTATATGACTTTCTTCTTTCAGACGAATCCAGTCTGAGTTATATAAAAAATTGTCCTGGCTATTCCAAGCTCTATCATTGCAGTCAGTTCCAATGCTTCAGTCCAAAAGAAGTGAAATAAAAAGCGCCCATCCATTAAAAAAAAAGTGTCTCACACGGCTCCGGGGGATGAACAAAGGCCTCCTGTAGCGAATCAATGCGTTTTTGTAAGAAAAATATCCATATTCAAAACGTAATAATCACTTTAATGTAGCTTGTGCCAACAGTTGTACACGGAAGCAGCTCTGGGCTGATGATGTATGAGGTCGGCTTTGCGCATGCGCCAGTGAGTCATGTGAAAACCAACGTTTGTTAACAGGAGCAAAGGAAGCAAAGTTTCCTTCCTTTAGCAAAGTAAAACCCGTCTCCTCTTGGCTTATATCGAAATCCATCGACATTGTTCTTTACAAATCCTTGTTTTGTACTTCTAATTAGTGACCGTTGTTTTGTTTTGATCTCTCCCCTGCGCTTCCGCGTTTGTCACTTCTGAGTGGCGCATGCGCAAAGCCAACCTCATACGTCATCCGCCCGGAGCTGCTTCCAGTGTACAACAGTGAGCGCAAGCTAGATTAAATAGCTGTAGTGAAACTTTACGTCACCACTGTTCACAAATTCCCCTACTGAAACATTTATGACTATGTTCCCACAAGTTATCTGGAGACCTACGCATTATAATATTATATTAATATATGAGTCTTCGTATTGTCTCATTACAACTGAGTGGAAATGGACCGTTTTCACACTAATCTTCGGTTGGATCTGTTGGATCTGTTTGTTCACATGAGAATCCATTGGATGGGTTGTTGCTAAAATACCATTTTTATGGGTAGACACTGTGTCACAATAATGTCATCCAACAACAGACTTATCTAAATTGATAGATTTGTTTTATTTATTTATTTATTTATTTATTGAAGTTTTAGGTTTGATATTTTTAGTGAGTTTACGCCGTAAAAGATTTTTGTTAAAGTTAAGCTTTTAAATTAATTCCCTGTAGAACACAGACACTTCGGAAGCAGATGGATGTTTTTGGCTTTTGTTTTGCATTTTTGTTTTTAATTATTTAGTTATTTAGTATTTTCTTTTTTGAGTGTCCTCTTGAGGGTTATATTTTTCAGATAGCATGCCAAGTTAAAACATATCAAATACAATAAGCGATAAAATAAAGAAATATTTTTAAGGGGGTTAAAAATGTGTCCCAAGACACTTGTGTTCTGATCCACTTTTTTTGAAAATAGGAATGCATCGTATGTAAACACTTTCTAAATCTGATCTGGGTCAGGTGACCTGAAACTTGTTTAATTATTTAGGGCTGCTTTAGGACCATTTAATTGTTCAGGCAACCCACCCACTAAATGTGTGGTTTTGCACATCCCTAATAGACTAAACCATACAGGACTACATTCCCTATTCCCTTCCCCCGGGACGTTCCTGTTCCATTGTGTTTAATCACTTTGGCTGATTCAGATAGGCATTGTTTAAATATTTCTTTCCCTTTGTGCAATATTAATCTCTAACTACTATGAAAGAAACATCCCTGGATGTAGATAGGAAATTTAATGGCATTTTTGCTAGAATCCCCATCAGACACATAGTGCTTAATTAGAAAGGCGGATTGCCGAAATACAAATGAGAAGAATGAAATGTTGACTGTCATCTGTAAACCCTGAATATGAATAGTTTATGTCAACACTAAGTGACAGAGACAAACAGAGATATCCCTGGGGTGCTGCTTGGTTGTTTTTATCATTTTTGTTCCATGACAACATGATTGCAAGGGGGAAAAAGGGACCAAATTAATTTACTCACTGCTAAAACTGAAGTAGTGTACAACGTAAATATGGGAAGTTGTGGTTGTACATGTATATTTTTGCATTGGCTTCCTCTTTATTGTCCAAGATTAAGTTAGCTTTTGAACTATTGTATTTACCCAGTGTTCAGTGCTGTTGAGGGTTAACAGCTGCAGCTCTGTAGTCCCACCTCTCCTCTTGTCAGTCAGAGACGGAGCCGGAGCTGAAGCACTGCAGAGAGCGCTGACTCTCGCTGAGAACTACACACCCACAAACAATCTAGAGACAGAGCCGGTGAAGGAACTTGTCGGGAACGGTCTGGAATCAAGCTATACGCTGGGAAATTTCCTGCCAGATCTCGCCATTTTGCCTCGGTCCTCATTTCTCACAGCAATCCATGGGACTCCAGACACGGCAACTCTCCGATCCGTCTCTCAGCTCCATGGCCTGCCTTGAAGTGGAGACCTTGAATGTCTGCAGGGGTAAATGCAAATAGTTTGAAATCTTTTTCAAATTCCATGTCAGCATGAATTAAAATGGGGAAGTTGATGCTAAACATGAGTGAAAGACACTGGGAAAACTGAGTGTAGCTCATGGCAGCTGGTAATTATCACTGGAACACATGTTGAGAAGATCTGGAGTGGATATAAATTGTTGTCATATCAAATGAGCTTAACAGCGTTAATAATCTCATGAAAAAGTGACTAAAGGTTTGGTTATGGTGAGGGGGGTTGTTGTTGTTTTTCAGCTGTCTGATGTTGGTTTCATTATATTTTTTTTGTATTGGCATCTAAGTTTTCATTCAAACTCACACCCAAACATTCAGTCAATCATTAAGCTGGCTAACTGTGCCTGTACAGAAGTTTATCTGCTTTTAATGCCTTGTGGGAGTAACCTCTTTACAGGTTTCTTAACAATAAGACTTTCAAATGCATGACGATATCTCTGCAGCCTTCACTGTTATTAATATATGGCTTCACTTGTGACCGTTTCAAGTGAGTTATTGGTCATTGGGATGGTTCCCATCAGTGAACCGTAAACCAAATTCTATATTAATTTATCAGATCTCAAACCTGAGCCAATATACAGTCATCTGTCGAGCTGCTGAAATATTTTTTACAACAGTAATGTCAACACAGCCCAGGTCAATGTCAGAGTGTTTTTTAAACCGCTTCATTTTAGTCAGACTCGGTAGCCATAACACAGCCCATTCATTTAATTTACGATAGTAACATCTGGTTGCGTTAAGGTGAGGTCAAATTGGCAAAATTTTGGGGGCAGAAAAGGTCCATTGTCTATAGTCTATGAAGCACAACTCGCACAGAAGTCACTTTCAAAATAAACAACGTTCCGTTGGTCAAAGCGGCAAATTTGATTAACTTGAACTTGAAACTTGTTGTGAAATTAGTGTGGGGAAACTTTTGATGTTTCGCATGGATTCCTATTGAAATGACTGGATTTTGCCCCCCAAAAATTGCCGAACAGTGATTGTGACATCAACTTTAGGCTTGGTTTTGGATTTAAATTGAATCTTGAGAGGGTTCTCGAAAAATTAGACATACAAGGATCTAAGCTGCCTTTTGTTTATTGTACAGATTGAGAGAGTGGCCTGGAGCCACGTAAAGGTCAGTCAGGGTTCAGCAGAGAACATCAGGAATGACATCATCTCAACAAATACTAGGATGACTGCAGGCATGTCATGTACCGGCATAATGACGTGAAGATGATTATGGTATTACGCTTCCATCAAGCTTCATTTGGAACATTATTTTGAAAAAGCCACTTGGTGGAGGCATGGATCTTGATTTGTAATGGATAACCACTTTAATACTGAAACCCACCAGAGAACCTTCTGGCACAGATAATAATGGAAAACATGATTCGGGACGGAGTGTTCCAAGCTTTTGGGGGGGGGGTTAGAAGAGGCACTTGGTCCCCTCCTTCAGTCTGACCACTCTTTTTTCAGCAGCGATACAGAATGTATGTGTTCAACGTACCCCCCACAATGCCATTTCCAAACTCTTCTGTTTCCCAGGCCTTGTTCTCACAACGGCTGGGTTTATTTTAGCAGGGGTGAGTCAGACAGAGTGGTCGCTCTCCCGGGACCTCAGCAGAACTGGGTGTGCTAGGCCTCATTCTGCAGCCAATCAGATTAGCTCTGTGCTCCCAGTGCCGACGATGGGTGGAAGCAGGGGTCTGCTGGGCATGTTCCACGCTCCGCTGTCCCATTTGTCATGATCAACTGCCATCCTCCTCTTTAAATGTTTTGCAGAGGAGTGGTGTTATTCTCTTGAACCAACATGCCTACGCTTGTGTGTTTTGAAATGTATAAATCGAGCCGTGTAGTTGGATGGTGAAATGGCATTCAGGGTGTATGTAGTAGGCTGTGCATAACGACCCAAATTTTACCCCTTCGCTCAGGCCTTCACTGTCTTATTAATGTTCTTGGTTGTTAATGCACCAGTGCCTCCTCATCCAAAATGGTAACACCTTGCATCTCGCTTTTTAAGGGCAGCAAATCCAAAGCCAAGGCTTCAGATGACATCACCTTGAGAAGTTGATAGGACTATTGCAGTGTTTATTATTTTGTGCTTTGGACACCGTTCTGTTGTTGATCTCTCTTATAAACAGCATTCTGTTGTATGTTTGCTTTTGAGATCAAAACTGTTGAGATTTTGTACCGCTTATACTTAAGTACAAATCTTGGGTTGACCTTTAACCCCGAAACATTTTGAATGAAAGGGAAAATGTGGTGGATTAAAATGAAAATTAGGCTGTTTTACTCACCCCCGAGGCACCCTAGGTGTATATGACTTTCTTCTTTCAGACGAATCCAGTCTGAGTTATATAAAAAATTGTCCTGGCTATTCCAAGCTCTATCATTGCAGTCAGTTCCAATGCTTCAGTCCAAAAGAAGTGAAATAAAAAGCGCCCATCCATTAAAAAAAAAGTGTCTCACACGGCTCCGGGGGATGAACAAAGGCCTCCTGTAGCGAATCAATGCGTTTTTGTAAGAAAAATATCCATATTCAAAACGTAATAATCACTTTAATGTAGCTTGTGCCAACAGTTGTACACGGAAGCAGCTCTGGGCTGATGATGTATGAGGTCGGCTTTGCGCATGCGCCAGTGAGTCATGTGAAAACCAACGTTTGTTAACAGGAGCAAAGGAAGCAAAGTTTCCTTCCTTTAGCAAAGTAAAACCCGTCTCCTCTTGGCTTATATCGAAATCCATCGACATTGTTCTTTACAAATCCTTGTTTTGTACTTCTAATTAGTGACCGTTGTTTTGTTTTGATCTCTCCCCTGCGCTTCCGCGTTTGTCACTTCTGAGTGGCGCATGCGCAAAGCCAACCTCATACGTCATCCGCCCGGAGCTGCTTCCAGTGTACAACAGTGAGCGCAAGCTAGATTAAACTGATTATTACGTTTTAAATATGGTTATTTTTCTTACAAAAACGCATAGATTCGCTACAGGAGGAGTTTGTTCACCCTGTAATGTAATTCTTTGAGAATAAATAAGTCAATACCACACATTAGGATTTGGCCTTTGGAGGGGGGAAACTATTTATTTATTTATTTATTTGGTTGGTTGTTGTTGTTCAGTACTATCATTTTAGTATCATTGAGATACTATTGTAGAATTTATTATTTTTAATTGTTTTATTTGTATGTTTTCTGTATTCATTTTAATTTGTTAAAGTTTTAACTTGTTGTTTTTGTCATTATTATTCATTTTTGTTTTTAAAAAATGTCTATATTTTTTTTTTAGTCATTTTTATTCCAGTTTTAGTTATTCAAGTACATCAAGTTAAACTAAATGAAAAGAAGAAATCTTGGCAACTAGCTGAAATAAAATAATTGTAATAATAATATTAAATATTATTTAATAATAATAATTGTTTTATTTTATATTTTAGTTTAGTTTTTATCGTTTTAGTTAATGATAATAACCCTATTTTGTATTATTTTTATTATTTGTATTAATCATTTTGCTGAACACTGTATGAAGAATCTGATAATGAATGATTGGGTGTCATGCTTGATTAGGTCAAGACTTATTTTGGACTGTATTTAGTACCATCTCAGAAAGCATTAAAAGTAGAAACTCACCAAAGTTACATTTTTCTGTTTTTGCTTCCTCCACAGTGCTTCAGTTAAGACTCCAGCAGAGGCGCACACGCGAGCAGCTCGCAGACCAGGGCATCATGCCACGTGAGTATGCATGCTTCATGGAAACATAATGCTCAAATGTCAACTATTGATGTTTAGACAAATTCAGCCTACATGCAGTGGACTTTCATGAAGTAATCCTTTGAGACCAAAACAATATGTTAGTCAAATGATCTGCTTCCTTGTTATTTTAACTCCTAATCCAGCATCATTAACAAAGTGCCGCTCACATTATCACCTAAGCTCTGCACACACACTGTACTTATTCTTCATAAAGTGGAATACATTTACCTCCAGCCACAGTTTTTTTTTTTTTGTAGATTACTCTTTTGACGGCGGGGGGACTTAGTAAGATATGTGTGTCAGTAAGGAGAGCAGTTCTAATAAAAGAAAGTGTCTGTTGAGGATACCAACTGATAAGGAAGGAGAGATAGAACAATGGTGTGACTGATGTCTGTCTGAAACAGCGGGAGCTGTCCTGCTTTCTCAGTGCTTGCCGTCTGTATAGGGCCCCTAACGTCATGGTCCAAGCTCCAAGAGTAACAAGAGTGAGTCAGCGACTGGGCCTGCACTTTTGCACAGCAAGACCTGTGGTTACCTCCCGGGCTTTAGTCAATGCTTAATGGCCGCAAAGACCAAATCTTGCATTCTTTAATCATATTAAAGTCAGGATTATAACTTTCCTGAAAGTGTTGTTGTTAGTGCAGCAGACTGCTTAAGAGGCCACATTGGTTAGTGATATACGACTAATCAGGGTAAACAAAAGTTGCCTTTGCTAATCAAACCACGGCAACTGTCAGAGCGCTCATTTCCTGTTGACCATGGATGCAGATGACAGTTCAACACCCACATAAATATGCCTAGCAGAAATGTTTCTTTGATGTACAGTATTTGTTTATTAAAACATTAAATATTTGTAATAAATATTTTGGTCTTCAAGTAAAAAAATGTTTTTTAAAAATATTCCAAAATGGTTAAATTATAAAGGAAAATTACATAAAATAATTAGACTTGTTTTCAGAGAATATATCTTGAATTAATTTTATTTTTCTTGACCCATTGGCAGATTGACTTTATGACTTTTATGCATAAATCTAACAAAATAGTTTTAGTTTATAAATTGTCAAGCACACATTCTCTAAAGTGGGTCAAAATGCTGACTTTCTAGTTCATCTTCAGTAGATAAGACAATCTTAGGGTATAACTGCATGAACTTTGCTTTAAGCAGAAGTTCTTTAGCACACAGTAGTTAAACACAGCAAAATGTTTTTTTTTAAAAAGCTTTGTGCCACATAGACGTGATGTATTATATAATGGGATATATTATATAATGTAATTTGACTTCATGTTTTTAAATGAAGGCATTGAATATATTTTTCTTTCCAGCGCTGAAAACACCTGGAGCTTTTCACGGGCAACTCAGAAGTCTGGAGAGGGCAAGGGTAAGACTCAAACGCTCAGAAGTATTCCTACACTTTGCATTATCTATTATTAGTGAACTGGCCTTTACACAGGTTTAGTAATATAATGTTATGGAAAAATCACAACAATACTATTAAATGTGTTGTGTATCATCATTTAATGTGCTAAAGTCATGAGATTGCATAATGAAATTCAAGTTTTGTTTACATTAATCTATTATACTGAATTAATTAATTAATTACATAATATATTATACTTTATGTTGGCCATCGGCCACTTTGTTTTCTAGAAATCAACATTTGTCGGTTACTAGAGTGCTATGAGAACAATAACATGTTGATGAGATGTATTTTACACAAATTCTTAATTCATTTACTCAATTCATATATATTGCATTGTCATCATATACAGACTGTGAATTTCCTGAAGCATAAAATCCGCAGCAGGCCTGACCGCGCTGAACTTGTTCGAATGCACATTTTACAAGGTACGCATCTGAACAAACAGATGTGATTTTTAGCTCTTAAAAGCATTGTCAGAGTCTTTTGTTTCACATCCTCGATACTTAATTTATCATGCATCTTTAGTATGGTCTGAAGTTGTTCTATGTATTTCAGAAACCCATGCAGAGCCTTCTTTGCAAGCCACTCAGATGAAACTAAAGAGGGCACGTCTAGCAGATGACCTCAATGAGAAGATTGCACAGAGGCCTGGACCAATGGAACTGGTGGAGAAGCACATTCTGCCGGTTGACATTGGTAAAAACAATGAAATATTGTATTATCTTCACGCTTAATCATCAGATTTACTGGAATTTACATGGAAATTAAATCACTATCACTAATTTGATTTGTTTTGTGGGTTTGTTGCTTGTTTGTTTGGGTTTTTATTTTGTGTTGGTTTTGTTTTGGACACTGCAGTTGGAGGACTGGATGTTTATAACTTCAATGAGGACAGCAGTGAAGCTCTGTCTCCAGAGCAGCCAGCTAGTCATGAGTCTCAAGGCTCTGCATGTTCTCCTGTAGAAGCCAGACTGCCTGATCCATCCTCTGTTTCGCCTCCAACTGGCTCCAAACTCCAGGTCAGCGTCTTAACAGTCCCTAGTTTCACATCCAGACTGATAACTGGTTCAGGAATATTCAGTTCTAATATTTACAGTTAGCTTATGATAAAAAAAGGTCTGACAGAGAATGCTTTCATTAAAGCACATGAAGTGATAATTCACTGACAAAGCTCTCCAGAAGAGCCAAGTAGTGTCTACATCTATGTTTTCTCTACAAATTATCCAGACATCAGCCTTGTGTTGCTGGTTAGATTTATACACCTCTGTCGCTTCTCATTGCCATATGGCTTTTAATCTCTTTTTATCTCAATTGTGTCCACCTACAACCCAGAGTCCAGACTTCCTGAACAGAACATCAGCAGAAGATGGCCGAGTAATGACTGCCACTCAGCTAGTCACTGCTGCTACTCCCACAAAGCCTGCACCCACCCTTGTGAAGGTAAACCATATTTCCTAACCACAGTGATGTCATTTCCTGCCAATGTTTATTTTCTCCTCTGAGATAATGGTCAGTGACTCACAGTATTACTGGCTAAATTCAGAATAGCAACTCCAGCTAGATAACGAAATATACCATACTGACTGTGAAAGAGGGAATAAAGTGATCATACTGCATTACAGTCAGACATAAACTAAAAAAAAAAAAAAACTAAGCTGAACATAAATTTTAAATCTGATGCTAAAGAGTTATTGCCAATAGAGATCGACCGATATATCGATTTACCGATATTTTTCCCGATATTTAAGCATTTTACCATAATCGGATATCGGTTTTGTAATATCGGATTCACCGATAAACGCCGCCATCTTATGGGTGTTTTGAGAATTGCGCAGGATCGCCATTGCAGCTGGGGAGACGAGACAACAACAACGGCATGGTGCAGGTACTTGATTTGCTGTAGTTAGTAAACTTTATTTAACATAACAGCCATTTATGCACAAATTAGATGCATTACATAAATGCCTGATATGTAGTTTATGCATCTTGGCTCTAAGAAATAGAGACCAACTCACGGAGTCATGTAAGATAATCCGTCAAGTCCTGTCCCAATAAAGATATAACTTTGCCTGAATTAAATAATATGCAGCCATGAATGAGTGCATGTTGGAAATAAAAGCGCTGAATTGAATTCTCTCTGTTGTCTATGCTCATCGTATAGTCTTGTGAAGTCGGAGTCACGTAGATAATCCGTCAAGATCCTCTCCCAATAAAGACGTAACTTTGCATGTGTTAAATAATACAGCCATGAATGAGCACATGTTGGAAATAAAAGCACTGAATTTAATTTTCTCTCTGTTGTATATTTGCTCATCATTAGTCTCATGAAGCCGCTTTCATATTGCTGTTCACTCACCGGGTTGATGTGGTTGATGCTCAGGAAATGCTCCAGCACAGCCACCGCATGTAACTTTTAACAAGTTTCACTTGTTTAAAACACCCTAAATTGTATTAACATTTACTATATAACCATTAATTCGCTAATAAACATCTAAATGAATACAACTCTATGGAAATTAATCATTTATTATCTCCACGAGCGATCGCAGTTTGCGTATAGTTCTGTGTAACTGCATAGATAAACCGCGCTGTCAGCAGG